TTTATAAGCGTTCCATAATTTTTAAAGTAGTACATGCTTAGATAGAGAAATATATTCAACGCGATTTAAGGAATTTGTTAAATTATTTTCACTTTCTTTACTTTCTTTTTTAAGTGAGATACAGTTAAGAAATATAATTGGTCACGTATGCAGACGCGAACGGTAAAGCAGAAAGTCCGTTAATTAATAATGCAATCCACATTTCCAGGCATTCCAACTTATGGATGCAGACAAGGATGGTATAATCGGCAAGAACGACCTCCGTGCGAGCTTCGACCAAGTTGGTCGGCTTGTCACTGACAAGGAACTTGATGATATGCTAAATGAAGTACCCGTCCCAATCAACTTCACTCAGTTACTTAATCTGTTTGCAACCCGCATGTCCGGATCAGGTACTTGTCAATTACCGGAATTCTTGTGTTCGGTTTTATCGAATTTTTCTATCGTATTCTGTTTGCGTCGCTGTCTAGAAAATAGTTAATAAATAGTAATAATTATAGTAAATAGTTTCCAAAAAACCTGCTATCTCCACATTACTTTGGTATTGTTCATCTTTGCCTACCAACTGTAATGCGAATTTCGATCGTGTTGCTCAAAGTAGTTTCGTTAATACTATAATTTATTATTATTATGATTTAGTCGATACTATAATTTATTACTTCAATTTAGTACTTTAATTTATACTAATAAATTAATTCTCGTGTCTGTCATTTCAGGTACCGACGATGATGAGGTAGTAATAGCTGCCTTCAACACCTTTGACGTAGATGGTAAAATTGATGGCGAAAGGTTAGTAACGAATTATACAGTTACGTTATAGTGTTCGTTTCTCTAATATTGTACCGTGTTCAGTGAAAAGTTTGTTTTATATATACATATATTTATAATGGTGGGATTTAAATTTTATTGAGATATATTCAGATATCTTTGTGCAATTTATCGATCAATTTTAAACATTTATTTGAACGAAACAAATTGTTCACTCGCGCTACTATTTTTCTACCGATATCAACAAGCCTATTTACACTTCCACGACCGCGCCAGAAACTTCAAAAATTTCCTAAAATTAAAGTATTTCGATTAATTGAACAAAAATTACGAAGCAAACTTATATGGTATCGATTGCTTCTTCAGCATTCGTCTTGCAAATCTTAATCAAATTAAGCAGTTATTTTTAATGACACGTGGAAGATTTCCCCCATCGGTCATCGATCGACTGAATTCCAAACGGGGAGATCTCCCCATTCGGTTGGCTAAGTGTTAATTAAAATATACATATGTATGTATGATGATTGAACTTGTACGATCTAAGTCAGACATATTCTGCTGATGACACTGTCTGGTATACTGAATTAAAGCTTGCTTTAAAATATGATTTCGAAGGTTCGAGGAATAAACAACTATTGCCTTTTTACAGATTGAGGCACGCTTTGATGACCTACGGCGATAAATTCACCGCGAAGGAAGTCAACGATGCATACGACAACATGTACATTGACGACAAAGGTTTCATCGACACGCAAAGTCTTATCGCGATGCTGACTGGTACGGGCGATGATGAAGACGAGTAACTTTAAGCGATCTAACATGAAACAAACTTCTGTTAAACCTTCAATCATTGAAAACAAAGTCTTGCATTAGCGCCAGACCCGTGCGATTTGCTTCCGAAGGGTGAAAAGCAGCGATAAAGTAATTATAATCATTCCCTTTCCTTTGCTCTTCACTGGTAGATGTATTCTTTTTTTCCGAGGGAACTGTTTTCAATAATAAAAGGCCAGTAACGAATGACTAGAGATTCACAGAACATTCTCCTGGAGGTAAAACAACGTATCTGCCGATAAACGAGGCTTTGAATATCCACATTATTGTTCGTATAATAAAATTACTTAAAAATTTTAAACCGACTGTTTTCATTTTACCTGTTCACCGATGCGATTAATTAATGCACTTCCTGTCGCAATTTCAACGTCTCAAGTGTTATATGTGCAGAACTTTCGGCGTTAGAAAATTAAACTTAATATGTTAAGTAATAGTATCTTATTAATAATTCATCAATTACATTGGTAAAAATGCTACATTTACAATAAAGATATTAATGATAATTTACATTTTAGCGAGACACTTCTTACATCCATAGTTTATATTTATCTACTCTCTGTTTTTCATTTAATTCATTACAATTTGTAAAACAGTCCAAGATAAATTGGCTGACAATGAGTAAGCTTGTATGTCGCAGATAAAATAAAAGTTTTTTGCATAGTACAAAACAGGAATTAATTGAAAATGTACTTTTCCTTTAAATTCTTTTAATAAATTAAAAATAACATAACAATATTCTGAAATTCGTAATTCTGAGATTTTTTAAATATACATTACATACCTCTCTAGCAATGGCGAATTACCGTACACATGGTGGAGACAGTCATCTTGAAACACATATGCCCCTTATAGTAACATATTACAATCGCACTAAAAGTTAAATTTATTAATAAAATTAATATGGAAATAAAAGTGTATTTAATATGTTTATTTAACCCCTGGTCCGGGGGGAAAAGTCTAAAGTCTGAACTCTATTTTGTTGAATAAACACGTTGTAATAAACTTGTGTCTTTTCGTAAATAATAAAGTTTTCCCTTAATGGATATAACAATGTAAGTAAAAGGTTCAACAGAAATAAAAAAAAAAATACAAATTCTGTGTGCATACGTTTCGCGTACTGAAAAATTGATTTTAGAGATATAAAACTTAAGGTGAATCCCCCAAGTGCAGTCACGAATTTACGAACATAAAGTGGGAATTATTACATCTTATATTGTTTTTAGAAATATGAAACTTTAGGTGAATCCCCCAAGTGCAGTCACGAATATGCGAACAAAAAAATTACATCTTACAATATTTTGCGAATAGAAGTAGGAAGTCGTTCATACGGTTCATTCCACATATTCAGAAAACGAAGAAACTTAAAATAAATAAGAGTCCTTAA